TATGTGGATATTGTTCCAAATCATTGAGCAAAGAACATCTGGACTCGTCGTAGACCAGGCAATACCAGGCATATGATCAGATCGAGTTGTCTCCAACATCCTCCAATCACTGGGCTGATTCTTTGCAGCAAGTTGTTGCAGCAACTTGTCCGATACCAGGAGAGCTCAAATCGAGTGCCTTGGCATTTGCTGCCCATGGGATTTTGGGAGATGTCGGCCACAAACTGAATTGCGGTGCACCCATCCAACTCAAATCCAGTGGAGAGAAGTGGTGGTATTCTTCCAATCATGGCCCGATTCCGGACGCAGAGCAAGTGGATAGAAGGATTCGGGCATTTTCTTGGTGCATTTTTTTTTCCATTGCCAAATATATGTAGGGGTATGGGGGATGGTATGAGTCAATACTCAATACCTTACCCATTTTTTGGTGGGATGAACATCCATCACTAGCAGCTCTTTAGGTCTCTTTCTGGCTCATCGATTTCGGCCTTGCGGTGGAAGCCCAATCCTGGTGCCTGGGATGAGCACGGGGCCGACCCCCTAAGGACTATCCATAACCGGGGTGTTGAGATGGACTTCTAACATTTCTGCTTTGATGAACCACTTCTTAGAACTTCAATCACTAGATTGGAGGTATGAGAAGAAAAAATGTAAAAAATAACGGCAACTATATTTACTATATGATGTTTAGGTTGAGTATCTCTAATAGCGACCTAATGGCCGACCTCAATAAAGATGATGCTCATCGAATAAATCAAGCAAAACTAGAAAGAACGTCCAAAATATTCGTTGCTTGGCACTTATTTTCAAAAAATACGGAATATTTGTTTGACATTGTTTGACCATATATATTTTTTGTATTTTTTTGTGACTTTCAACAGCTTTAAATATTGGCACGTACTGTAAATATCACCAATCAAAGCTGTTGGAGCTGGGACCAAGAGAGGGGAGGAGGCAGTCCACAGGGGTTTCTGATCGCTTAGCTATCCAGGGGTTCAGGGACCTTCCAAATCCATGTTGGGTTGAAACATGGTACCTAAGTAAACCTTGGTTTGGTGACTTGGTGGGTCAATACAAACGGACCATGCCACGACTGCCTGAGACATCAGGCCTCAGAAATGGCACAACACCGACGTGGCGGGGGACTGTCGATACTGGGCGCCCTCATCCTTTGCCGGGAAAACCCAGATGAGATCAATGGAGACTTGACAGAATCCTATAAGGAATGTTCATGATATTATCTGGTTGGTGGTTTGGAACATGGCTGTTATTTTCCCCAATAGTTGGGATGATGATCCAATCTGACTTTCATATTTTTCAGAGGGGTTGAAACCACCAATTAGCTATCTCGGGAGAATATCTTGAGACAAGAAAGTCACACACACACATTTTGCCCAGGCAAGTTGATAGAAGGGCGGAGATAGAAGCGACTTCTTTTCCTGGAGTACTTGGCAAGGCAAAATGACGGATGATGAAACAATTGGAGGCTCTCCATTGTCCCCACGACTTGAGGTTATGAGCTTCTGCGGCCCAGAGGAGGGATCCAACGTCCACCCTGTGTGCGTGGATGCGACTATCCATCGTATCTGCGTTCACTGACACATCAAACGGCTTGATGTTCACTGCCACATCATCCGATAGTTGGAATATCATGATTGAAGGAAGCAGCAACACCAACCAGGAAGTGGGCACAGGTGACGGACAACCCTGCATTGATGAGCTTCAGATCCATCTTCTTGCGGCCTCAGGAGACGGCAGCAAGTCCAGATTTTTGTTCCCAGTACAAGACCAAATTGGACATCGTTGGTCTAGGTGGGGCCGGGTGGGCCGTTGCTGTGGGTTGCCAGGTAGGAGGCGACCCACCCAACAAATCAGAGATTCACCAACCCAAAAATGGGTTCCAAATCAGCCCAGAATGGGGGTTCTAGATTTTCGAGAAGTGCTGAAACAAGGACAAGTTACAGGACCCCCCACCATTTCGAGGTGCAAAACACCATGGTTTCCTGTCCATTTTTCCCCACAACCATGGGCCGGCGTGGAGATGTCCAGGCCTTACAGCCCTGGAACTCTTATGCAGCACCGCTTTAGCGAGCAAAGAGACCTGGGGTGCGCTGGGGGAATTCCTGGGGGGTGACGGGCTGGGCAGCCGAAATCGGGCTGGACTGTCCCGAGAATTGGGAGATGATGGGCATGATATAGAGCCCATAGTATTTGATTATATTTGATTTAAGTATCGTAAAATTCTGGTCCTCCAGCCAGGAAATGGCACATCTGCCAGTTTTATTTTCTTTTAAATCTATCAATATGGATATGTTCTATGGGGGAATTTGCCATTGCCAGCTTGATTTGCTGGATCTTGGTGTCTTAAGTTCTTGGATAATCCGGCGATCACTCCTGAGATGACAAACGTGTTGTGGATAACAGATACATTTTCTTTGATTCCAAAGATAGCTATATAATATTTTTGGTAATCAGATTCCATAAATATAGCCTATATGTAGATTCCCAAGAAAGATAACTTCCAAAGACAATGGATCAATATGGATCAATGCCAATTTCAGTTTTCGTTGAAACACATGACCCACATCGTTATTCATAGCTCTTATCATATGATCAATTGCTATCAATGCTATTATCAATTTTGAAAACCATTGCATTGGTGACCAATGACATCTTTGGTATATGATATACCATGATATACCATAAAATTATACCCCATAAATCCATATATAAATCCCATCCTCCTGATATTAGATAACCGCGAATCGAAATTCTGGTGGAACGTTTGCCGGATCAGAGGGCCCCATGACTGGGGAGGCATTTGATATCCCAATCTTGTTCTATTCTTTCTAGTCATCCCTGTTATCACCCCATTATCACTGGTTATATCACTCATATCCAAATGACGGTTGCTTATCCCAATAGATACATCGCTATCCTCATTTCAGATTAATATTCTATTAACACTACATAAAATCCATATTTCTATCTCTATACATAAATATCATACCAATTTTCAGGAGGATACTTTATTCACACTACACACATGTGTATATATATATATAAATAGACTATATATATAGCTGGTTGCTGGTTTGGAACATTTCTTATTTCTCCATATATTGGGAAGAATAATCCCATTTGACTAATATTTTTCAAGATGGGTTGAACCCACCAACCAGATAGATATATAGATAATTATCCCCATTTCCGGAGGATTAAGCCATCTACAACCTCCATTTCCGATGCTTCAAAGCCAGCATTTTTTTTTTCGGAGGCCCCGATGGTCTCCGTGGCTCCTGGGAGCGCTTGCTGGATACCTGGGAAAGGTGCCATATTTTCATAGGGAAAACAACCAACAAGGGGGGTTGGACCATAGGAAGACAAATGGAGAAGATCATCAACAATTCTGTGATATTTCTGATTTTGTCTCGAACATGCTGAATTTATGGCTCAGTCTGTGGCAGTTCTGGCAATCTTAATAGGGAACATGAGAAACTGTGTAGCCTGGGCCGTCACCACCAAACATGGGGATGATCTCCCAGGAAAAAGCACTGAAGGAATCCCGAGGGGCCCTGGAGCCAGTGCAGCATGGATAGGATTTTTGTCGTTTGGGACACTTGGAATAAACATTGTACACACAATACATACGCTTATAACATGGCAGGTTTTGGAAGGATTGACTGGAAAATCTTCTTGATTGGTAGCCATGTAACCAGGCCAACTGGGAGTATCCCATTGATACGAAGCCGGTGGGTTGGTGGGTAATAACCACCAGTTTCCTTGTAGTAGATTCAGTAGATACTGTCCCCCAACTGGGGTGAGCCTAAAAAAAACCTCTCCGCCCCAAGTTGGACCATGTCCGTCTGACAGGTATCGGGAAGATGTCACTCGTTGGCATTCCATGATTTTTCAGGTCTTCACGAAAGGAGGTGCCAGATTGCGCTTTAGCTTCCCAGCTGGTGGTTGACCTACCCCCTAAAAACAATATGCTCGTCTGTCGGGATCATCATAAAGCTAAAACATACCCTCTGGTAAACTAACATAGCTATTGAAAATGGCCATTTATAGTGGATTTTCCCATTAAAAATGGTGATTTTCCATAGCTATGTTAGTTTACCAGAGGGTACTTGAAACCATCAACCAGACCATGTTTGTGGTCGGAACTCCTCGACCGTGCCAAGAATTTTTGGGGTCTATCAAGGTGCACAAGGATCTAGAAGCGCAGGTTGCCCCCGATGTTGGTGACTGTGTGCCGCTTGTGCCAAGCATTTCTGCTCAAGATTGAACACACCTGAAAGAGACAGTACCTTAAATCATTCAGAGCACAACGTCAAAAGATCCACGTGGTCACAAGCAAAGACAATCTTGTCGGCCTACAAATTCATCGGGAAGAAAGGCCCACATCATGACCCGAAATCACATCTCAAGAACACCTCTTAGCCATTCTTAGCCTATATCACAAAGTGCCTGTTCTGTTCCTTCCCAAAATCATCACGTTTCTTCTCCCCAAAGCACAGAATTTTTGCAGCGTTCCGTTCCTTTGTGGACAGCTTGAGGCGCAGCCCATCAGCCACCCAGTTCCCTCAGCTTCCCCAGTGTTGGAATCCTTCGCCATGGAGTGCCCGTACGAGCTCTTGGGGGTGTCTCGGGACCGCCGCGTGGATTGGGAGGGACCCGACCCTGGAGCGTCCAGTGGTCAAACGTGGGAAAGTTCCCTTTTTTTCACGTGCTTTTCCGGGGTGAGAAATATGTTCATTTTGGAGATAATGGATTGTATAGATACCTGAGAAAGGGATGCCCAATACATGAGGATTCTCGTGAAATGCTGTGAAATATACAATGAAGCTTAAACCAACACCTAGGACTGTTGATTTTAGACAAACATGGCACTTGATTGAGTGTTTTGCCTGTAGACCCACCGATCATGGCTTGGCAGGGTGCGTGTCTGCAGCGACTCGTGAGTCTCAAGTTGAAAGATCTGCGACGTTTGGGAAGCCATGGCAATCATGGCTATGAACGAACTGAGTGTGGAATTGATCAGTGGCAGGGTTTGTACTGTGGAAGTGTTTCCGCAAATGAAGATAACAGAATTGCAGGAGAAACTAAAGGCAGAGGGTTTAAAACGGTGCGTTTTTGTCGTCGTTGTTGTTGTCGTTGTCGCTGAAGGAAGTGATGTGGCATTTGCAAGAAACACATGAAGCTCCAAACCATGGATGTCCTTTGAAAATTGCCAAAAAAGAGCAGCAACCCCCAGCTTTTTTTACAGGATCCAATTGGTCTACAGTCACATGATGGCACCCCCTTCAGGCTTTCCATCCATCGAAGGATGAGCTCACGCGGAGACTCAGCGACCCAGAGATTGTGGTGGACGGTGAAAAGCTCGTAGCGCTCGAGCACGCGATGGTGGAAGACTCCCTTTCTGACCATGCCAAAGTGCAGGTACAGACCTTTGCAAAGTCAGACAGAGTTTGGGGTGTGTTGAGATGTTCTTTTTTTTTGGTGCTAACGTGGGAATTTACATGTTTTCTTTGAGGGTGAATGGTTTTCAGCTTCTGAAAGACATTTGAAAGTATTACCATTTCCCGGAAGGTGTGGACTCGTATGTTTTGCACCTTGCAGGTTGTCTTCGTCAACGCGACGGTTGAATGTGCCAGCAAAGAGCTATCTGGCCGCAAGGTGAAGGATTTGCGTGGAGTACGCATCCCTGACACTGAAACACGCATTAGACCCTTCGCCTTTGAAGGATGCCGATATTTGTTCCATCTTGAAATTCCGGAGTCGGTGACTGAAATTGGGCACCATGCCTTTCGTGACTGCAGCTCCCTACTCAGTGTGAATATCCCTAAGTCTGTGACCAAACTAGCAGATTATGCCTTTGCTGGCTGCAGCTCTTTGACAAATTTGACCATCCCAGAGTCAGTGACTGAACTTGGGTACCGGGCATTGAATGGCTGCAGCTCTTTGACAAGTCTGACCCTGCCTTCTGTGACACATCTTGGGTATGATGTTTTTTCTGGCTGCAGCTCTTTGACAAATCTGGCAATACCTTCTGCGACCCGCATAGGCTTTGACCTTTTTTCTGGCTGCAGCTCTTTGACGAGTTTGACCATTCCAAACCGCGCCACTGGATTAGGGGGTCGTGCTTTTTCTGGCTGCAGCTCATTGACCAGTTTGACCATCCCCAGATCTGTGACTGAAATACAGAATTCGACCTTCGCTGACTGCAGCTCTCTTACAACCTTGACCATTCCCAGTTCTGTCAGTAGCATTGGTGCAGATGCCTTTCGTGGCTGCATCTCCCTGACAACTTTGACCATTCCCAACTCGGTCACGAGAATTGGAGACCGTGCCTTTGACGGCTGCAGCTCACTGGTGACTTTGACCATCCCGGACTCTGTGAGGAACATCGGAGTGGATGCCTTTCGAGGCTGCAGTTTGTTGGATCTTCGGCTGCCGGATCTCAGAAAAGTGAGAAATGGGAAGGGTGGCTACACATATGAGCCATGGCCATCCGCTGCCAAACGACGTCGCCGATGATCGATTTCGAGATCCAAAAAGGGATGGTTCCAGGGTGGTTTTGGTGGTACATCCTGGAACCAGGTTGACAGGTTCCGCCCATCCTACGGCTTAGAAACCACAGCTGCTGCACCAGTTTGGTTCATTCCAATAGTTTTTTCTGGCAACTTGAGGAGGGCCAGATATTGGGGATTCTGAAAGATATAGCCTCTGGTTATTTAACATAGCCATGGGAAATGGCCCATTTATAGATGGTTTACCGAACTTAAAAATGGTGATTTTCCATGGCTATGTTAGTCATAACCAGATGGTAGATGATCTAGTGTCTCCGAATGATCCGAATTCCAGTGTCTCTGAGTGACATCCTCAGTTTCAGCTTTTCATCAGTACCATTCTTTCCTTCCCATCCAGGACGCCAGTCCTAGAAGCATCGAAAAGGCGTGGCGGCAGAAGGCGCTGACGGAAGGGGATGCCATTGCGCTTTTGGGGTTGTGGGGTAGAATTTTTGCATATCATAACTGGTTGGTGGTTTGGAGTTTGGAACATGGCGTTTATTTTTCCATTTCATATATGGGATAATTCTTCCCATTGACTAATATTTTTCAAGATGGTTAAAACTTACACACCACCAACCAGTCATAATTGTTCAACACTTTTCTTTGGTTCGGAAAGAGACAGATTCATCTTTCTTCGTGAACTCGATTGACCACATGATAATGTCGACATAACTCAATGAAACTGTTTTTGTTAAGTCGCAGCTAGATTTTACAAAAGCAACTCCATGAACTCAATCAGTTTTTTTTAAACATATTTCCACGGGTCTATTTTTTTTTCTATGACCTCAATCCATGGAAAATTTCCGTTATTCGGTGGACCATCCCACACAATCCAGCGTGGTTTCAGGCGAGGCAGCTCCACCCGGACAAGGCGGCAGATGATCGGAAGGCAGCTGCAGAGGAGCTGGTTGGATGTCACGACTGGGTGGATTGAACTAGTAACAGGGCTAGTTTTTTTACACAGACTATGTCACTATTTTAGATTCCTGGTGAAATATCACTGGATTTTTTTAGGGAGTTATAGTTATACTCATGTTATACTAATAATTATACACATTTATACACTATCCAGCTATATGAGCGATGATAACCATGAACTAGGAACCCGGACCAGCCAGTTTTTGATGATTCCACTGTGAGTCCAATATCATAGCAGGATTCGGCAGAAATCGAGCTCCTGTAAACCAAGCGAGCTGGAAAATGACCCAGTTATGGATGAGATACTCTGAGATACCTATCAAAAATATGGCGATTTCAGCGAAGTGTTAGTTTATCAGAGGGTACCACAAATAGATACACATGAAAAAAGGCATAAGCCAGCATCAGATCATCCCTTGGTTTTTCCATTCAAATCTTGATCATCTTGGCCTCATTTCAGTATCACTTCACCATCTTCACCTCCGACCATCGACGCCAGGAGAGCTTCAAGAGGCTTTCTGAGGCATGCCAGCTGTGGCAGCAACTGACACTTTTGGGTTGACTGCAATGGATTTTTCAAGCTTTGCAATTTGGGAGTCGTCCGTAGGACAGATTGGTGCTTTGGAACATGGCTGGATTATGACTTTCGCATCATATTGGGAATGTCATCATCCCAACTGACTTTAACTCCATCATTTTTCAGAGGGGTTGGTCAACCACAAACCAAAGGATATTGTGGTCCTACTTGCATGTCCAGGTGGAGTTTTAGGGAGGCCACAAACGATCATGCCGAATCATGCCTATGTTGCCACAAAGTCATGCATGACATGCTTACTCAGCAAGCAACCAACCGGACTTGAGCGGCATGCAATTTACCTTGCAACTATGGGCTCGAAAATGCCATGAAATCGGTACTCTAAAATTTTTCTGCATGACAACCTAAAGATGCAACATGTTTTTTTTTGGATCAAGAGGCAGATGGCATGGCTCACCACCATCACCACCACCACCGCCGCCGCCGCCACCGCCCCCCCCCCCCCCCCCGCCGCGTTGGATGTGCAAGGCGCATGATCTGCTGGCAGATCCGGAGCGCAGGGAGCTCTACGATCGATTTGGGATCCAGGCAATGCCAACATCAACGGCGAATTGGTGAGATGTGCGGTTGGATTATGACCCATCCACCATGTGAATCTTAAGCATTGAACATGGATATCTGGCAGTGTAAGCGCAACAGACAGAAAGTAATTTGGGATTTATATATATACATATATATATTGATTTATTTCATTGAGCATAGAATATGGAAATGATGCGTGTTAAAAGGGGATGTGGATCAAACTTGGATAGCCCCAACATGCCAAACTGGGATAGTGAATACTAAACATGACCAATGTGAATGGTTCCCAGGGCCAAAAGTCGTCCTGGACATTCAGTTTCAGGGGTCACCTTCACACTTTTTGGCCTTGCCGAACATCAGTAAGGGTTAACGCTATCATCTGAGTATGACAACTTTTGGTCGGTGGTTTGGAACATGGCTTATATTTTTCCATATATTGGGAATGTCATCATCCCAACTGACGAACTCATATTTTTCAGAGGGGTAGGTTGGTCAACCACCAACCAGACTTGATATGGTAGAAATGACACAAGAACTGATTCAAACACCTGGGATGTTACAATGTTCGAGTATTTCCGCAGTATTTCCACAGTATTTTGGTCCGAATTTTCGGGACTTTTCTGGTTTCCAGAGAACGGGTCGACGACAAAGTCGGGAGTTGACCGGCAGGATCCCAATGTCCTTTCACAGGATCAGTGGGACTTTGGAGAGGCTGGAGAGGTTTCGTCCCCAAGGTGTCCCCATTTTGGGTACAACAGAAATCCTTTTGCAGTGAATGTTTGCCACCCAAAACTTTGAAACCTACATGACGCCAGGGTTTCCTGTCGAGACCTTACCTTAACAAACAGTTCGATGCGGAAAACCCTCCATGAGAGTAGATTATTTCCCGAACGGGAAACCGTGGGTTTCCATATCTGTGTTAGTTTACCCCAGGGTATGATTATTATCTTCTGGTTGCTGCAATAATGATTCGCAACATGTGCTGATCGAAGCTACAGTCCGAAGAGGTCGCGATCGAATTTCGGTATGCATTGATCATCTCCGCATTTTTGCTATGGCTGTGTCCAGTGTCCAATACCACAGGGTCTACCCTCTGGTAAACTAACATAACTATGGAAAATCACCATTTTTCATGGGAAAATCCACTATAAATGGTGATTTTCCATATAGTTATGTTAGTTTACCATAGGGTCTACCCCCAAAATGGTCGAGATTTTCCTGGACGTTGCAGGGCATGGGAGGTCACCCCGATTTTGCGGAGTTCGAGGCGCGGTCATGGCTTGTGGTTAAGGTAGGGGAAAAGGGGGCAATACCATGAGTTTAAACCAGGTTTGGTTCAAGGAGTTTATTAAACAAAAATTCTTGGTTTAGACAGAAGTTGAGATTCTATCTTGGTTTTACGAGCTGAAGCTAACATTTTGACTGGAAACCATGGAATTTTTGCCCATAGGCACATTTTCGGATTTGTTTTTGGGGCACTGAAATGAGGGAGCAATGTACATGATGGTTACTATGGTTTCAATTTGACGGCGAATCGCATAAGGTACAATATTTGTGTAATTCGCATTTGTAAATTTGGTTACCCTGAAATTAAGAAGAGCTCATGTTACCTACCATAGTGGTCATTCAATGTCATTCACCACCATCATCCGGGAGTAAACAGTGTTACTGTATTTTTTGTCGGTATGTAAGAAGTAACAAGCTAGAATGAGTGGGACTTTTGACCAGATTCTCCAGATTCTCAGTGTCTTGGGAGGGACTTCGATGATTCTCCTTGGCAAAGAATTGGCTGTGCCCCAGTTGTCGTCCCCAACTTGGCAGGAAATCTTGAAGGAGTTCTTTCAGAACGGCAGAGGAGGGGGCGCAAAGAGATCATTTGGCTCGTGGCATGACATTGTAACAAGACACTCCGTACCCTCTGGTAAACTAACACAACTATGGAAATCACCATTTATAGTGGATTTTCCCATGAAAAATGGTGATTTTCCATAGTTATGTTAGTTTACCAGAGGGTAATTTCATTTTTTTTGTCACCCAGTTGCTCAACACAGTTGCTGGACAAGCCTTGAACCGGTATTCTGGGTCCTCACAGGACCACCCGCGGAACCAGAGAGGCTCGGAGTTCTCCAAAAGCAGAAACAACATGAAACAACCTCAAAATCCAGGAGAATTTGGGAGAAATTTGGAAGATTTCTATTGTTCCCAGTGTCAAATTTCGTTGCCACTTTTTGGTAAAACACAAACTTCAATTTCTTTCGGGTAAGTGCGGTTGTGACTCAACGCGCCGTCCTGTCAGGGACCTGCAAGACGTGTGGGAAGGCATCTTAGGCTTCACGTTGATCTCTCTGACCGCCTGTGGCGTTGCTTGCCACTGGGACTGAACTTTGAAGCACTAAGAAAGGTGGGGGGCATGAGATTTTCAGCTTTTGGGCCCTCTTCAAGCTCACCCGTTTTTCCCCGGTCCAACTCTACAGAATGCGTGGCGAAACTCCCCACTTTCCCAGGCCTCACCTGGCTGGCGCGGCGGCCGCCTTTGGCCGGTCTCCTCAGCTGGTGCTGGTGGAGGCTGCTGATCGCCAAGTTCAACCAAACATGGGATGTCAACGTGGAACAATTGGGGTGCAACATGGTGTAACCATTGAACAACTGGGATTTGACCAAGCATAATGCGGATTTTTGGGGCACAGTGGCACTGGAATTTCAAGTAACAGGTGGATTTGACATGCTTTCATGCCTGCAACATGGGGAGGACATGGAACCGCAGGTGGCGTTTCCTGCTCTTTGACATTGGTCTTGGCTAGGTGCGAAGATGGGTGCCAGTTTCCAGTGAATTTCATGTTATTGGGGGGGTGAACCCAAGTCAAATCAAGTAGGCCCACTGATTGGACATTTCGTCCGATTTCATCCCCTTACCACTTGAGAACGATGATTCCTACCTCTCCTCCGTCTGGTGCAGGGTACTGCACTGGACGTTGTCCATCGACCAGGTCCGCTGGACACAGTGCTTGTCCTTCGAAATGCTGCCGTGCTCGCGGCGATGGTTGGAAGAAATGAGAGATGGTAAGACAACCGTTCCAGCTCCAGAAATGTGTCTTCCATTGATTTCCATTGCTTGATTTGGGTCAATATCAATGATCACAATATTGAATAGTTGATGCTAGAATATGATATATAAGCATCCCAACAAAATCCATCTGTTTTCATCTGTTTCTGGGGTTTGAATTAATCAGGAGTGCATGGTTTTCACTCATATCCGGGAAAAAAAACAACATTTCTCGTATATAAGTGCACGCAACTGACTGGGGGTGTATAGTCGGGATTTTAGCAGGGATTGTAGCCCAAAACATCTTCGAACTTTTAACTAGTATGCGCGCATGGGTGGAGGGGAAGATATTTTTTCCTACTTTGGAGGGGATGTTTCGCCAAAGTGAACTGCTTGTTGGAGGGACAGAACCATGATTCCTTCAAGTTTTGAGTTGGGTCCGGCCAAAACAAGTTCAACAGAAAGAGAAGGATTGAGCAACTAAAATGTAGGGTGGCAATGAACAGTTGTATCCATAAAGACAGTTGATGAAATCCCTTTTTTTGCTTCCATTGTTGGGATTTTCATGGATTTTCGGTATGTGAAAATACCAAAGGGTAAGAAGTTGAATTTCTGTATGTCTAAGGAATAATGTCTTAATTATATTATTAGATATTAATGAATACATTGGATGTATAGACCAATTGGAGAGACATTGAATACTTCTCTCCTGTCTCTCCAATCTTGCCCCAAAGCTGGCAGTAGGCAGTCGAAGGGCCTACAGCTGACGTGACGCGTCATGTTTTCCAACGACTTTTCAAGGGAGGCTTGCGCAGTCAGTGCTTCCAAGAAGGTGGTAGGTGAACGTACTGTTATGTGGGTGTATGGGTCAAAATACACACACCATCACACACCCCAAAATTATGCAGGTGGCAATCCTTCAACATCTTTTCAGACATTGTGACATTCTCATCAGATGGTTTGTCCAAAACTACGGTAGGTTCCAAATTTTCAGATGTTTTTTATGCATGTCGTTCTCATTTTCTCAATGTGTTATTTTTCTCCGAGTATGCCCTATTTGCCAAGACACACCATATCTCCCAAGAATTCGTCACTAGGAGGTGATCCATGTCCTACCCCATGTGGAAAGCGTAGCCCCTGTGATCGGCTGAGTCCTGGACCGGGTGAGTCCTTCACTTGCGATCAGAGAAAAATATTTGTTTGGTTTGAAATGATGTACTGGTTGGTGGTTTGGAACATGGCTGGATTATGACTTTCCCATCATATTGGGAATGTCATCATCCCAACTGACTTTAACTCCATCATTTTTCAGAGGGGCAGGTATACCACTAACCAGATACTATATAGTTACTATACTATACCTTGGGGGGATGAACCCACCATTTACCAGCGATATGTTGGTGTTCACCAGGGGGAACTTAATGGAGCTTCTGATATCTCGATGGACTTTCCCCGACGTTTCGCCCGTTGGCCCAGGCTTGATCCAGTTGGCACCACCAAACACGAATGGCCGTGCCAGCAGCGAATCGCTGCGAGGTTTGGTGGTGAAATTCATCGCCTCTGAGATCTTTAGGGATGGTGCCAGAAAAGACCAGAAAAGGAGGAATTTCTGTGTTGTTGGTGGGTACTAGTAACCTTTCCTAGCCATAGAAAGGATATGATCGAAGATGGGCATGCAGAAATGTGAGACCCAGACTTTGCCATTGAAGTGGTGCCAGTAGGGTAAACCAATGGCTTGACGTGGGCATGATCCCCAGGTAGCCTGGTTTTCAAAGCAAAATGGCTGGTTGTGGTGGATACCCACCCACCCATTCCCAAGGTGACAAGGTATCCCAAGGTACTGACCCATCCCCAGCAGATACTGTCCTTTTGGTTCAGCACCTGTCCCACTTACCTCGGTTGACCGAGCCGAGCTTCGCGGAAACAGTGGCGGCACCGGGAGAGTTGAGCCTAGATGGACATTGGGAAAACTGACCCCAGAAATTGATGAAGTCATACCATTGTGACATCATGGCCTTGAAAAGCCTGTGAACGATGAAGAAATAGTGGGGTATCTTCAATCAAAAATCGGCTCCAAATCAGGTTTGGAATGTATCACTGTATCACGCTATAAGTTATCCAGATTGAACAGGATAGACGGGGTTTCCCTTGGTGCGCAGAAGATAGTGTAGCAGTAAGATCATACATGCATCGTATGGTTGCCTCATGTTGCCTCCATTTACTGGCAAAATCACCCAAAAAATCAGGCAAGAAGGGTACGGCTCCGAAATGTCGAGCCTCCAAAAATGGAGCCCCAAACAATGGATGGATTATTGGTAATTATATTGTTTTATTTTGAATCATTGAATATAATACGGTAATGTGGGTAAAACAATAATCAACCATCTCCTAAATCACATCAAATCACTAGAAATAGGTGGTATAAACCATTCCCAAATGGGTGGTTTATGGCATTGCTGGTTGGTGGTTTGGAACATTTTTTGTTTTCCATAATGGTTGGGATAATCCTTCCCATTGACTAATATTTTTCAGAGGGGTTGAAACCACCAACCAGTTTGTTTTACCCACATTACTCAAACTTGGCAACTTTGTGGGTTCATCTATACCCTGCATGGCTCGTAGCATACGCGGACAGGCGACATTGGGCCGCTCTACCGCCAGCTTGGGCAGGAGTCTTTTCGGGCGGGCCATCCGGGGGCTGTTCAAAGGGGCAGACCTGTGGGGGAAATCAAGGGTGTATGCATTAAATAAATAAATAAAGATAGATAGATAGATAGATGGATGGATGGATAGATAGATATATATATATATAGATATATAGATATATAGATAGTAAGTATACATACACACATACTGTATATAATGCAGCCTAACATTCGATGAATTACCTTTGATGTACTTGATAGTTACCTGGTAGTTTGTAAAGTGGTTTACAGTGATTTGAGCTGTCTACACTGAATACACTGGATGGTTTGTGATGAGGTTCATCCTGACAGCCGATCGGCCCGTAGAACTCTGGAACACGAGCTGAAATATGGGTCAAAAAGTCGCCCCAGGCCCAGAGAGTTTGATGTTTTTCTTGGCATTTTGATCTCATGTTTTGTTGGCCACACACCTTATGACCTTATGAGCAAACTGCTCGCATACTGAGCCAGCCATATTCCCACTGAGCTGCTGACCGGGAAGATTGCAGCACGGTCATTTGATTGCAAAGATACAATCTATTTCATCCCAAATCATCTGAATTGGATATATACAATTCCGCTAAACATATCTAAACATGGCATTTGGTCACTAAAAGATTTGCTGCAAGTGCGCAGTGACTTAGAACCGCCATCAAACAAAGCTGCGATGTGCCGCGCCAAATGTGGCGCATAACGAGCCTTTTGCTCAGCCAAGGGCAGCTGCAGCTTGGCGTTTCCAGTGGCGTCACGGGATCATCGTAGTCCATTTGGGCCATGCCATGCCATCTACAAATGGGATATTAATGGGATTTAATGGGAAATTAGTGGGATTTTATAGTGATTCAATGGGATATTAATGGGATATACCCTCTGGTTATGACTAACATAGCCATGGTATAGATGGCCCATAGAAATAGATGGTTTACCGAACTTAAAAATGGGTGGATCTTTCCATGGCAAGCTGTTAGTCATAACCAGGTGGTATCTGTAAATGCACCAATGAAGCAACAAGATCCCGGTTCTTTTTCCACTTCAGTGTGCCATGGTCAAGTTAGTAACAGTTAGATGATCTACCGTGATATACCGTGACCCCATGAAAAGGTAGTCATCCTTCCATTTTCACAGGGATTAAGGTCCCCCTCCATTGGGACTGTCCCAGGGTGCGGAGCTGTTGGACAGATGGCTACTCTGCCGAGCTCTGCTGCGACACTCAGCGCCTCGATCAGCGCCATTTCGGAGGGGGGGTTCATGGCGTGGTACGCCCATTGAGCATCCCCAAAATCACCAATGGGTGGTATAAACCATGCCCAGTAGGCCCAGTAGGTTTATTGTGTTTGGTGTCCAACATGTTTTTACCAGATTTCGACGGCTTTTCGCTGCAAAATAAACCAACTTCTGTCATCAAGACACATCAATTCCGCCAATGGACCCTTGATCTACGCCAACCTGAATGAACAATGATGAACATGGCTTTGTCTCAACCTGAAGAATAGTCTATTTTCATCCATTTTCTGGACCATATTTGGTGCTTCCATGCGGACCCATCTGAGGACCTTTGGTCCAGGTGGTAACGCGGGCTGCTGGGATGGATCTGAGACTTGGCGTTGGTCCCTGTTGGTGAAGGATGAGGTGTGGAGCAACCCGCAAAAAGATCGGAAAAACCATGAGAAAACACTGCAATTCTGCAAGTCTTCGATATTTTAATAGGAACCTACTTAATTTACTCCTATCTTTCTGGGGTTACTTATGTTTACTTACTATGTGCTAAATCCGAAGCCATAAACCATCCCCAATTTTACCGGAAAGGGGTTGTAAATGACCATCCTTAATTGTAGGTTCATTTACGGCTCACCACTTTTCTAGGGAAATAGAACTGCAACAAATGTTTTTTTTTTTTAAATTCGGGTACGCCAAAATCCCGTTGTTCATCATCAATTTCCCCACTCAACAGCCATCATTTTCTCATTCAATAGCCCTAAACTGGGGGGTATCCTCATTTTAAGACACACCCAATGTGAATTCTTAGAGTCATTTAGATGGTCATGGCACGTCAATTTGGAGTTTTGGGTTCAGAGTCATTGGCTTTGCTGATCAGCAACTCCCAGTGGAATCTGCCAGTTCTTGATTTTGGTTTCCATGCCATGTGGGTTCTTAATCCTCTGATGCCTCGGTCCCCACATCAGATGCAGTGCGCCATTTTTAGGGCTTCACCTACAAAGCGTGTTGCTGCGATGAGAGCCACGGCTGCTGGGTAGCGCCGCAGCTCTCGCAGGTGCATGGGACGGGGGCCCCACCTATGGGACCGGGTGAAGATCAGCAGGGTGCCAGGGTAAACTGACCCATTTCCCCAGAGACGCAGTATCATAGCTGGGAGGGGTGGAGATGCGACCAACAACTGGTCAGAAGTGTCAGAAGTACGGACGGAACTCTGGATCAAGAAAATTGGTGTATATGAACGCATCCTAAAAATGTCGAACTGGTGGGAGAACTATGGATGGAGCCTCCTGGCGATTCAGTTTGAGTCATCAAAACCATGGTGCACACGTGGGCTGCAGATGGCTGCAGTAGGTTGTGGCAAGCCCCCTCCAAATCGATACGTTACAACTCCTATGTCCCTAGGTGGTTTTGGTATCTTCGGTTGGTCAATGATACCAACTACATGGTTAACTACATCCAACTGTTGGGTATCCATCGTTACCATGAGATTGATCCATCAACTACAGGGGTAAACAATCGGTTGAACCTGGGGTTATCATTGATAAATGATGGTCAACTGATGATTTGTTCGCGACGCTACTACAAAAACGCATTGGGGATTATCATAATCTTTCGCAATCCAGATATTAGGAATCAGGGAATCACTGTTTTCACCAAGCGTTTAAATGACGCAGGCGGCACCATGGGGACATTGGGGAGAGCCTCCCCTTGGCAATCCAGTTGAAGAGCTGCTGGGCAAGCACTTTTCTCGGGACAAAGTGCTGCTGAAGTTGTTGAAAAAGGGAACTGAACTTACCCCAGTTTCTTTTTCCCAATCTTCAGATTTGTAAGTTTAGTTCTGCTAGATATTTCAGTGCAGCACTGGTGGTTGATCTTTGAAGTTGCATCAAAGCAATAATCTCAACCTCGGTTGGGCAGATGGTGGATCTAGCTGGTTGTGATAGCTGGTTGGAGTGTCAGGCGATTACATGATCCTCGCATGAATTTTGTGCGCAGGGGATCATGCTCAGTGTTTGCAACATATTTTCTCAACTTGGCGGTTGATGTATATAGTATGGCCCCGTATGGCATGTATGGCTCAAACTTGGCAGACCTCAGTGATCCTCAGTGGACTTACATTGTTACATCAAATCGCCATCCTAGTCACATTGTCGACCTCAGCAATCGAAGGTCTGTAGGCTCTTAGCTATTGGGTGGTTAGCTAAGGGAGCGGTTCGGAAGGATGGGCCTCCATATTCTTAACATCGGGGAGCCAAGGAACTACTGAGAATTTCCGACCACATGATTGATGGTTCGGTTACTGTATATTCCATTATTTCCATTTCATCGCCATAGTTGTTGGTTTATTTCTCCATGGCTGTTTGATTAAATCCATCCCAACCCAGTTGTGGTATGAGACCGCAGCGACTCGGAGGCTTAGTGTGGGCCTCTTTCCGACCTACGAGCCTGGAAAGGATTGCTGGACAGGCGGCAAACGGACCCAAATCATTGATGGCCGGGAGATTTTTTTTTTAAATTCCGAGCTGAGAACAAAATGGATCCTTGAGACCCTGAGTCCTTTCTCTTAGAATAGCTGGCCAGGCAGTGCCGCCACCTATGCCAAGTGTTGCGCCTTGGAAGTAAGTTATGACATGGTTTAGCCATGTTTTAGGGGGCCCTTAAAGAGGCTAAAACTGAAGAGTTGCGAATCCTGGCTATTTCATCTTCAGTGACGTAGTCATCTTGTCGAGGTGATGGGAACTGACCCACCATTGGGGAAATCATCTGCAACGATCCAGTGATGTTCAAAACCATCCATCCAACTTTACCTACTGTGGATGGGGAATTGCGAAATCCTGCACCAGCAATTTTGGATGGTTGAAACTTGTTGAAACCCTGTAAATAACGATATTTTTACAACCGAAATATCAACTGGTGCAGGATTTCGCTGGCCCATCCACAGCTGTGGATGGGAGATTGCCACATCCTGAGGTGATTTGGCCATGAATCCCATGGGAAACATCTGGAATTGCTGGGACAACAATCGCTTCACCTTCGAACGCTGCTGCTTCCTTGGGGAGGTGGCAAGACACCCCCGGAATGGATGACTTGAAAGGGGTGAACAAAAACGGTTGTACCACCCTTTATCATCATCCATTATGGGAGTCCATATAGAGGTTTCCTGAAATAAGGGGTACCCCCAAATCATCAATTTTAGTGGGATTTTCCATTATAAACCGGGAATCCTCTATTTATGGAACCCCCCATATTAATTAACTTATCAAACTGTTATCCTGCAATTCCACCTGTATGTTCGGATGATCCGAACATCCGAAAGAACGGCACATCAATTTTCCAATCATGGCACCACATATTCTCGCTTTGGTAGGTTTGGTGGTTTTCCCCAACATCATTCAAACTCATTGAATCTTAGTTTGTTGATAGATTTGATACTGGTTGAACCATGTTAAACACCATGTTGGTGGTTAAACGGTTAAACCCATGTTGATCAACAGAGATTCAACCCAACAAACTATCAACAAACCCCCTTTTTGGTGGCTTGAACCATGTTACACCCACGTTGATCCCCACAACTTGGCGGCTTCCCCCCTGGCTCCAGGCCGCGCTGGGCGAAGCTCCTCCCAAGCCGCTGCTCCGCCCCGCGCTGCGCGCGCAAGCGTCGCGGACGTCGGCGCCACGGGAGGAACTGCTCTTCCAGCGGCCGGCAGGTGCCATGGGAACTCTGGGAGCGAAAAATGTCATCGTTGATGGCTTACTATAGGGGTGAAAAACATGGTCAAAAATTCTCTGGTACACTAACAGTTAACTGGAAAATCACCATTTATAATAGGTAATTATGGTAATTCAACTGTAAATGATCATTTTCAATAGCTACCTTAGTCATTACCAGAGGATAACCTCACTCTTTTAGCTATCAACCCAGCAGATCCAATCAGTATAATGGGATGGGATAGGGGTATTTTTTATGGCTCATGTTGAAAAATGGGTTTAAGGCATGCTTTGGGGAGATCCTAAATTCAGTTTGAACATCAGTCGTTCTATTTTCCCGGAGCCGCCCCTCTGAAATATGCTGCAGAAGATTGGAGAGACCTTCAGCACCAAACATCTGGCTTCCCAAATTTCGTTTTCAGCCAAACAATTGGAATAACATGGAACAACCCAACAAACATTTCCAAACAAATCCAGCCATCTTTCCAATTCCCCATTTTTTCTTCCCATTTTCCTGGCATTTTTCGCAATTGTTTAGGTCAGGAGTGTTGGGTCCACGGCTTCACCTTTGCAGCCTGTTGCGACCTGACGAAGCCGAGTTCACCAAGACATTGGGAGGTTTCACAGCAACATGATTTTTTTTGGGAAGTCAACTTCAAGCAAAGGCCAAGAACTTTTTGGAGAGGTCACCAACAGTGGCATCTGGATTTTGTGGCTGGGAAATAATGGGAATATCTGGCTCTGGTTTTGTTTTCGAATCACCCTGGCATCATTTAACATAGCTATTGAAAATGGCCATTTATAGTGAGTTTTCCCATTAAAAATGGTGATTTTCCATAGTTATGTTAAATTACCAGAGGGTATTTCATAGGGGTATTGACGGTACCCATCCCGGCATGGCCCACATTGATCAATGATGATCCATGCAGATTAGAGATGTGAAATTTTTATCCATGAACATTACCAATCCCGAGTCCACTCTCTAGCATATGTAACATGGAAACAGACAAACACATATATGATATACAATATACAAACAACAAATTCAACAAACTATATATTAATGATCCAGCACTATGGCAAACTATGGCATTCTCATACATGATCTATAGATATCTATAGTATGACAGTATGAGATCAAAAAAATTACACAGTCGATTAAGGCCTGGCTGGGATCAACAGCTGCTGGGACGAAATCTTCACCCACGCAGCCTGCTGTGATGGTCGGCCGCAGCTGCCACAGGTGGAAGATGGTGGTTCAGCGCCCTGGGAATGGGAATTTCTATGGGCATTTCACGGGGAAAATGGAGATTTCATGGGATTTCATGGGAAATCTATGGGATTTTATAGTGATTCAATGGGATATTAATGGGATTTCATGGGATTTTATGGGATTTCATGGAGATTGGAGGGGATTTACTGGAGACTTCATGGGATCTTAATGGGATCTGATGGAGATTTTAGGGGATTTACTGGTGATTTAACCATGAAATGGAGATTTCTGATGGAGTTTTCATGGCAAAAATTTCCGGCATGGCAGGCATGGCACATCGTTTTTTTTTTTTCCATTGAGAGATGGTGATTGGAACATTAGGGTAACTGGTTGGTGGTGGTGACTGGAACCATGGATTAACTATGGTTTATGGTAGATATAACTATGGTTAATTAATGTGGATTATAATGGTTTATAAACCAACAAACACTGCTTGGTGGTGCCTGGAACCATGGAATGGAATTTTGAATGACTTTCCCATCATATTGGGAATGGAATAATCATCATCCCAACTGACGAACTAACTCCATGATTTTTCAGAGGGGTAGGTTGAAACCACCAACCAGCTAATAGATCTATTGTACTTGTATCTTGTATCGATCACGTATTGATATGCATTGAATCTGTCATCAATTAGCTACCATCTATCACCTGTCCATTGAATCGGTGATCTATCGGAGTATCCAAATCTCAAACAAAATATATTAATCCACCCATCCCAGGCCCAAATACTCCGTACATGGAACGTCCATCACTATGTACCATAAGAATCACACCTGTCATCCTCGCAGGCGGGTCCTATCGTGGAGGCTACGAACCCGATTGTGGCTCGGTGAAAATTTCTGACCCAAAAGGAACTTCTCAAGGGATGTTTACTAATTGCCCTAAGGGTAGACTAAGATAGAGGTGAAAAACCCATGAGAGACCACAGGAAAATGATCAATGGTGGATGAAAATCCACATCGAACTGTTAATTTGCACTGGAGTAAGCATCTATATATATATGGTTATATGACCACTGGTGCATAGATAGTGGTTATTTGGTGGATATATATGTTAATTTCCACTTGCTATATAACCACCAAATGCAAATATGAACCAATGCGGACCCACATTCGAGGCCTAGAGGACCACAGCTCTTAGATTTTCAGCATGAAAACCAACAATTTTTTGGAATGTAGACATCCCCCACAGAAAATGTGCAACCAACTTTTTTTTTGGGGGGATATAGCAGCCGAAAACTTGGGATTTTCTCGAAGCGCTGGTTGGTGACTTGAGCCTTTTGCCAGGTGAATTGTTTGGACTTGTCCAGCCACTTGACCCTAGCAACTTGGTTGCAAGTCTCCCCAAAACTGGGCACCCAAATGGGGATGGGTCAAATCCCTGGTACCTAGTGAACCCCAAAATAGCTGGTAAATGGATGTTCATCCCACTAAAAATGTATCTATAGGTATTGACCCATACCCAAATCTCAAAGTCGACCAAATACCTCTGCAGTTTGCTCCTTAAGAAAATGATCCAAGTCTCTCTGTCCCAGAGGAAAACAAATAAGGACCTGGAGCAGCGTCCGCGGCAGTGTCCGCAACGCTACTTCTACCTGGCCACCATGGGCACAGCACTGCGACTTGATGAGATGAGGCTGATTTAACCAATCAAGAAGTGATGGTTTAACCAACAGAACTTGTTACTTTGTGGTAAAGTCTTTGGGGTTCAAAACCTTTATTTTTGATTATTTTTTGGGGATGAACATCTACTTACCAGCTATTTTGATGTCACCAGAGTACAAGGGTTTTGACTTGCGGCCATATTCTTAGAGAGCAGGAATGGATAATTTGCTGCAAGTGATGGGGGAATGATTCGAATCAGACAAATCACAGTCCAAATTTAAAGGATAGTGGAGTTTGCTGTGACATTTCCCTCACAGTGAGGGATAGCTAAACCTATCGCATTTTCTGAGTCGTTTTGGGTTAACAACTATAGGACCTGCGTAAACGGACTGTGTTTTGGTAAGATGACATTATGATACATAATGTGTATAATCCCATCACCCTAAAATATTAAACACCCCATAAATGGTCCCAATTATGTGGAAATTCTCTACTAAACCATGGTTTCGTTTAGGGGGTGTTTAATATTCGTGGGAAGGGATTATATATGTATATAAATATAATATATATATATAATATATAATACATATATAATATAATATAATAGAATAGAATAGAATATAATATAATATAATATATAATATAATATAATATAATATAATATATAATATAATATATAATATAATATAATATAATATAATATAATATAATATATAATAATATATATATGATACAATATATTTATATGATATAATATATAATATATATTAGATGATATATAATATATAGTATATAATATATGATATATGATATATAATATATGATATATGATATATAATATAATATATAATATATAATATATGATATATAATACAAAATATATAATATATAGTATAGTATTATTTAATATAATATAATACAACACAATACAATACAATACATGTAGTTTTCTAGATTGGTTTTCGTGAATCAGTGCCTTTCTCCTTGCCTTTCGCTCGCCCGAGGATCGGAGCGGATCGGAAGGGCCTTCCCTGGTGGTACCCGGCAGATGATGTGCAGATGGTGAAACCCTTGCGGCCTCAAAGGACGGGGTGTCGATGTCAGCATCGTTGGAAGGACCATCCCCAAACGTTGGGAGAACCATGTTTTTTTCTGTTGGATTTTGCACGGAAAGTCCCCAAATCTGGGTTTGAGAACATCATTTTCCCCATGTTCAAATTTGCCATAGCTTTGTGATTTATTTTTTTGGGTAGATCCCTCCAATGTTCAGACACAGTCCAAAATCATGTCAATTGGCTGTATCCCAGAAAATCTCCCAACTATCTCCCAACTATATCCCACACAAACATCGGTAAAATATCTACCAACTATATCCCTTATCAAATATCCCAGTTGTGATTTACTCAGGATGCACTTCGTGGGTGGCATCTGTGTGCCCTCGAGCTGCTCTGTGGAGGTCCGCCATGGCTTCAACCAGAAATTGGGCTGTGCCCACAAAAGTTGATGGTGTTTTCCACGATTTTCCCGATTAAACTATATTAAACTGCCATTGAAATGGGGTATATATTCCATTTTCAAACACACCACATATGGATATATATATAAATACAATAGCTGTTGGGTTTATAGATACTAGGTTTTCCATTGTGATGATCCTATGAATATTCTCATATATTACCATTATGTTATTATTATTATTATATTATGATACCCATTGTGTCATTATAAAAAAGCTGAAGTATGACAACACCCATTATCTCACTAGGTTATACTATGTTATACTTACTACCCTTTATGTGGTATTAATGGTAGTATAGCCCAATGATTATATATATATCCATTAATTATTAATATTAAACACTAGGCCTAATGGTAATATACATTAAATAATGATATATCCATTATTAAACACTAGGCCTAATGATATATCCATTTGTTAATATTACCAGTATATTAATATATCATATATCACTAGGATGTTACCTAAGCCCAGGCCACAGCCTCTTATCTCGCTCCCCTGGTGGCTCCCTGGTGGCGTTCTCCGCGTGCCAAAGCGCAGCCCTTGAACGCAGCTTGGCTGTTCCAAGGGTATCTAATTAGTGGTGATTAATAGTGGTTGATAGTGGTTAATAATGGTTAATAATGGTTAGTAATGGTTAATAGTGCTGATTAGTGGTGATTAGTGGTGATTAGTGAAGTTGTATCCCATGATTCCCATGATAATTGGCAATCACCATTTTCTTCTGATTATATGTATATATATATTAATATATATATATACAATTATATACATACATTTTTTCCATTGATCATCAGTGAAATCAGCATTTTTCAAAATTTCCTGATCATCAGGATTTCCAATTTCCAATTTTGCTCAGTGACATCACCATGAAATTCGCCATGTTGCCATGTCTCCATGGGATTGGTCTAAGGGAAAATCGATGGTTTCCGGTTTTTGATTTTCCCAAAACCAATCCATTTTTCATTAACATGGTTCCAATGGTTCCACTATTAACCACTATTGTCACCACCTGATAGTGGCATCAGTGGCGACAAACTTGTGCCATGGTTAATTTTTCATGGACATCGTGACGTGGTTTTCACATGTTCCAAGACACAAATTGACCGTCAGGCAAGCCACGTGACGCTGCCGCCTCCCCTAGCGGTGCGGCACAAGGCCTTTGGGGACCCCAAGGCCAAGATCAACCTGACCTTTACAGTGCCTGGAAAGATGTGGGATTTCCCCCATGGGAAACCAATGATTTTGTTGGGAAAATCATCTACAAATGGTGGGGTTTTCATCAACAAACCATGGGGATATGGGGGTTTCCAGAAATGGGGGTACCCCTTTATCGCTGGATGGTTTATAAGGGAAAATCCTATTAAAATGGATGATGACTGGGGTACCCCCATTTATGGAAATCACCATATGAGTCGATACGAGATGAACACCTGGGTTTTGAGATGATCTAACGCAGTTGGGGATCCATGTACGAAACCAGTACGAAGAGTTTAATGGGGAGATGATTGGAATACCCTCTGGTAAACATACAAACAACTATGGAAAATCACCATCTTTAACAGGTAAATGAACTATAAATGGACCATGTTCAATAGCTATGTTAGTCATTACCAGAGGGAAGTTTATGCAATGTAACCAAGAACATGATCTGAACATGTGGAGCTGAAAATGGGGGATAGGTCTCCATATCTGCAGAGCATCAAATGATGGAAGCCATGGCGACACAAAAAACACACACCATATCGGCAGATCTCAAGCGACATTGGTTGGAAGAGATAAGAACCAGGAGCACTCCGAGAAGACAATCTGGTGCTTGCAGTGGTTAAGGTGGAAATCCATGTATTTATATATATATATATAGATATGTATAGGAATTATATACTGGTTGGTGGTTGGTGGTTTGGAACATGAATTTTATTTTCCATTTCATATATGGGTTGTCATCCTTCCCATTGACTTTCATATTTTTCAAGATGGTTATTGCACCACCAACCAGATCAAACATGTTGGAGACACCTGGTGGTTGCAGTGGTTACCGTACTTTTCCCTGAGCAGGCGATGGTTGCCTATGTGTTTCCAAGATCAACCTCTGTTGGAAGAGGCAATCCACTCTCAATGGATTGGTTTAAGGGAAAATTTACAGGAAAGCCCCATATTTAATGGGAAAATCTATGGTTTCCTGTAAAATTTCCCTTAAACCAATCCAATCACACTCAAATTTCTGCGGGTCAGCTGCCGTTTGTTGAGGCTTGGACCGCGCTGCGCCCAGCGAATGGGGAAGCACTGGCGGACTTGGATCGCTGCTGGGTGCAACGGATGGCAAGTTTCACTACGTGGAGCGTGTGAAGATTGGACTTTAGAATATGGACATATTGATGATAGCTATAGACATTTGTAGTTTATGTATATATATGTATATGTATACTACATAGAATGGCTGGTTCATCCCGGCCATTCAAGACCAAAGACTATATAAAGCGGTGTTACGATGTCATGAAACCACGTTGAAAAAACAATCTCTGGTCACTGTTTGATGCCAGAATGTTCCATCACTAAGATGTACATGACATTAGATCAAAGTGTATATGCGTGTATGCCTGTAGAGTCTGTAGATATGCGTCCAAAAAAAAGCTATGCAATTGATTGTAGTCCTGTCTTGTTGTTTTACAGTTCTTTCACCGAGGTTGGGATTTTGCCATGATCCTGTCGCTTGCTGGCCAGTCGGTGTGTTCCATTGGTGAATCGTCCCTTTTAAACAAGTGGCTAAACCATCCCAAATAGAGTATGACCCCCGGTCATGGTTGGTGAATGGGATGGTAAACATGGCGGTTTGGGCCGCCATGTTTTTTGTGTCCGAAAAAAGAAAATAGGGTACCCCAGACACCATCCACTGGTGAATCATCCTTTCTGTATCAACAAAAACATTACAGTTATATACATCCATAATATAAATCATGATGTTGATGATGATGATGATGATGATGATGATCATGATGATGATGATGATGATGATGATGATTATATACTATTATTATTATTATTATTACTATTTTATTATTATTGCTACTATTATTACCATTTTTACTATTAATTAGATTTAATTACTATTATATGTGATCAACAGCTACACCATTCTATCCATTGGTGCATCCTTTCCACCTTTGAGGTATCGCTCCGGCGCCAGCTGGTCCAAGGGGAAGGCCATCCTAATTTGGACGGCCCTTGGCGCCCTGTTGATCTTTGGTGCAGTGCCCAGGCATCAGGATGGACCGGGACGGCAACCATGGGGATGATATGGGAGGGAACCTTCTCATTTTTATGGGGAAAAATGATGAAATTTCACTGTTGTTAGTTTTGATAGACATATTTTCACCAACTGAAGAAGTGACTGTGGGCATAAGGCCACAAGCATATAGGGCCCCCATATCCCAACTTATGGAGGTTATCATTGTTAAACAATTCTCCTCCGTCAGTATGAAGCAATGGTATAACACCACACGTTTTCTTGATATTGTGTTTCCAATTGCAGTAAATCGCGAACTATGGTTTCGTCTTACCCCGAAATGGAAATAAGTAACCAGCTTAGGGCGCGCTGCTGCGGACGTGTGGCTCAATATCAGCTGCATATCGCTTCCAACAAAAACATGGTTAGCTCATTAAAAAAAACCCAGTTGCACCCCCCAGCAGGCTACTGACTTTGAACCAATCTTTGTAGGACATCATTCAGGACATCTATCATTAAAGGAGCAGGCTGATTGGATTGAAGCAAAGTGTTCAGTGGGATAAACTTTGAAGATTAATCTTAAGGTATTTGTGGGCTCCAATCTATATAGTGGTTGCTTTGCAAAAAATCTATCTATTATTTCTTATTCTCCATCCTATTTGATATGGAGGTTTCCTGAAATGGGGGTCCCCCCAGTCATCATCCATTTATAGATGGGATTTTCCATTTATAAACCGTCCACTGGTTGGTGGTTTGGAACATTTTTTATTTTTCCATATATTGGGGATAATAAATGATAATAATCCCAACTGACTAATATTTTTCGGAGGGGTTGAAACCACCAACCAGTCCTTTTTTGGGGGTACCTCCATTTATGGAACCCCCCAGATGATGATCGCTTGATTCACCGTTCACCTCACTGCGACAGTGGCGTTGATCTCGAGAACTTCCTATCGCCCTCGTTCCACTTGAAACTTGGTCGCGTTGAGCGCGGCTGCAGGTTGAACCGTTGACCCCCGGAATTCTGTGATATGGCTGGTCATTCAAATGGTGACCCCCACTAAACAAGCCCTGGGTAAAAAAAAAAAAACATCCCGGGTTAAGACTGGAACGAAACGTTGGGTGTAAAAAAAATGGATAACAAATGGAGCTCCAAAGCTGTCCTCATTGCATCCACGCCGATACCAGAAGTGCTTGGAGACAAAGAACAAAGATGGCAACAGGATGCAACAAGTGAGTTCAACCCCTCTGGTGAAGACCCATGAAGACCCCAGAAAACCAGGTTGAACGAATCTGGCGGATTTCGTTGTACCAGAAATTTGGAGAATGATGTTTTGATCAAACCTGCAGCATGTCATAATTTGCTGTGCAGTGTTTTGCAAGGGGCTAGCACCTTGCGGGCTACATCTGCTTGTGGGCTTGTGGTCAACCTGCTGTGAGAATATGTGAACATTAGACGCTGCTTATACATTTATATAATCCGAAGACTTGCCAATCTCTGTGGTTGCCTGGGGCGGCAAAACCTTGACTAAGTATAACCTGAGCTGCTTCCCGCCACAAACCCAATTGGTTAGCACCCCAGAACTCTGTGGTAAATGCTGGTAAATGTACATCAAATATACCTTCCAGTATGGCCCATAGAAATTGAGGATAAAAATGATGATTATCAACGATTTACCTATGAAAAACGGTGATTATCCATAGCAAACTGGCAATTTTCACTGGAGGGTAGCCTTGCTGCAGCCGAGGCTCAGACTTGGACTACCTAGAGGTCCTAAGCAACTTGGCGATGGGACAAAATCGGATATATAGTCGGGATATCAATGGGTATCTCTCTCTATACATATTATATATATACCCATGTATACTGTATGTACTACACATACATTTTGTTTTCCAACTTGATATGATATTTGGGTGTGTCTGAAAATGAGAATCTACCTCAGTTTATACGCAATTTTCAGGCAATTTCAATGGAGAAGCTTATTAATTAACCAAGGTTGGGGTGTTCGAAGCAGCCATTGACCAGAACAGGATATTTTGGCTCAGAAAATTCAGACATCGGCCAGGAAATCGGCCATGACCTCATCATAAATCCAAGGGTTTCCAGAGAAATTCCTAAAATCCCATAGCTGGTTGGTTTCAGATCAATGGCACCCTGAATTTTCAGGGTGATGTCGTCACCCACCATTTGCAAGGCACCTGGAACTCTTTCGATTAGTGCTGACCGTGCTGGTGCCTCGCCGAAATGGATATGGATTGAACATCTCGGGGAAGACCCCCCAAATCCCAGTTGATCCTGGTTTCTCATGATTTTCCCTTCCGCAGATGGCATTTTTTTTTGTGAAGTCCACCATTTTCAGATCTGATTGGAGGATCACCCCAGCACCCAGCACAACGCGAGGGTTGCTTTTTGGCTTTGTCCGAACATTGGCATTATCCCCTCCATTTTTTGGCTAAGTCAGGGTATTCTACCCTGTTTTTTTTTTGTTGCCCAATTTTTGTCGTGGTCACAGAGGGGAAATCCCTCACCAGGTGCTGGTGATCCACGTCATGGATCATGGTCCTTGGACCCCAGTGCAGCAGCATAGCGGCGCGGCGTATCTCATGTTACTGCGAAGCACCTTGGCCCGGCATGTGGGAGATGTAGAGAGAGCAGGGAGGAAAAAATGATGGGGATGGGTTAAAATACCTAGGATTCCACACTATTCCACACTTTGGAAAAATGAACATCCATTTACCAGCTGTTTCCATGGGGATGGTATTTTCGGGATGATATCAGATCATTTGATGATAAGAACCTTCGGATAATATTAGCAGATATTGGCAGGGTAGGATGCAATCTTCCACAACGTTGGGATATGCTGTAGCCACCCAGGACTCCATAGTCTTGACGCGGGACCGCCACTGATTTCTGATAGGTCTGATAGGTCCGTGAAATTGGATGATTTACAGTACCTCTTCAACATGGATATTTCCATGCATGCTCCATCCCCATCCAGGTAGCCGCAGCTCGAATTTCAGGCTTTTCGCCCAACATTTCGGGGTTCCTCCTCCCCGAAAAATGGTTTGGGGCAGGCTGTATGAGCCGTGTGAACATTGGCTTCGTGGTGCTTCTGGTTCATCTCAGCATCAGTCGGAGGTCGCTGAAACAGGCGCGGTCAATGCCAGAGATGGGGTTAGAGAAACCAAGAAACGTTTGCCGCTTGGAGATGGGTAGAGTTGAACATCCTCAAGCTCAACATTTGTTGAGATGATGAGTCATATGAGTTCATTCCAGTTCTGAATTCTTGCCCAGTTTGGCACCCACCAAGAACGGCAGTTCTCTCATGTGATCTCCATCTCAATGGTGGGAATATGTGGGAATGACCCAGCTATGCGCCAGGCAATCTCCCCGTGGGGATGGATCAGGGCTATGGCTTTCCACACCCTGAAGCGTCACTCGGAAGCAGATTCCAAGGCTATCCGATGCTATTTTTTCCGTATCCATTGCGGCATTCCGGCTAGTCCGCCAATGACCCGGTCGATGAAACATGTTGTTTTTTTCTGCGACTTGAGAATCTGTGGTTGGATCTTTTTACCTGGGAGCCTTGTGTTCGAGTGGTTGATTCCCAATTTCCATCCCCATCGTTTTGCGTCGCGGTCTACGTGTCTGAGCTATGTCGGCACAATCTACCACATCCTCACCAACGTCATCTACGGTTCCTTGAGCAAATCATGGTGATGCTTGAAGAACACATAGACATCATATAGACATCATAAATGATACAGAACCTGCTTTACCATCACAACAACCATCACCTGAAACCCGTTTTTGCCACAGCTTTTCCGGCGAGTTGAGGTTTGTTTGTCATCGCTCCAGTGGTAAGTGCTTGGAGCCTTGTACCAGCCTCAAGAGGCTGCTGTCCAGTTTTTTTGGATGCATTGTTGTACCCTCTGGTAAACTAACATAGCTATGGAACATCACCATTTTATAGCTGGGTAAATCCACTATTTCGACTGGGCCATTTTCAATAGCTTTTTGTATGTTTACCAGAGGGTAGTATGCCCATCGAATTTTTGGGTCATCTCCTGGAGTATGACGAAAAACTGCTCAGCGGCCAGCGATTTTTATCGCTGGGATGGTTTTATAGTAACACCCAAAAGATAGAAACGTAACACATTCCATTATATAGTATTATAGAAAATAGTGGTAAACTGGTAAAATACATTTCTATTTTTTTTGAGGGATTACTCCCAGACATCCTCAAGACCTATAAGGCCCAGTGGGCCTTGATGGGCCTTGGCCTTGCTCAGGTCTTTGTACAGGCACCATTTGATGATGTGCCGATGAACAACATCCTGAAGTCCAATCCGTTCGGTCCACAGAGGCTCCGGGAATTTTTAACAACGTGGCAAGAGGTGGCTAGAAAATCCGAAGATCCCCCCCATGAAAATGGCTTTGATCACTAATGGAAAGTTCAAATCTCAAGTCACCAGGGAAAATCCGACGGGGTTTTCCCATGATGGACCTTACTTGGGGCTGTGGAGGTATAAATGGGTACATCACCATGACAAAAAAAGGGTTATATCATGTTATATCTTCAGTTATATCCCAAGTCATGGAGGTTATTACCGTCATAACCATTAGATAACCTCGACCTCAACATAACCATTAGATAACCTCAACTGCCGAAGTAAATGGTCAACTGGTTTTCTCCAGGATTCTAAAGATTTGGTTGGTCCACACCTTAGACTCCCTGCCTGAGTTTCCACCAGCTGGTTGTGATGAACACTTCATCTCCCACATTCGTTCGGGAGAATCATGATAGGTTTGACTTACGCTCCAGTTTCGCATTGAATCTCGATGTGGAACCACCATTTGTAGATCAAATTCCTAGGGAAACAAAAAAAAGGGTTTTTCACATCTATGGAGTGCACCCCCTTTTTAAGATATAGTGAATACGCACAACACTAGGAAGCTGGCTTCTGGTTTGCTTGAGTTACCTTTGGCATGTTGCATTTGGCACATGGCATTTGGCACCTTTTTTTTTGGGATTCAATTCTGACAAATTGCTCATTGGCTATGGATCATTTTACTCTGGTGAACATCACAATGCGTGCAAGCGATGTACATGCTATGACCAAACAGAGCTGTTTTTCCCATGTTGTTCCCAAAAAGATATGTTGTTGTTGTTGTTGTTGTTGTTGTTGTTGTTGTTGTTGTTTTTCCCATGGTATGACCATTCCTTGAAACATGGTAATTCAATGGTCATTGATTTTAGGGTTCCACAGATTGATTTTAGGGTTCCACATCCCAGGTCTGTTTTTTCCCGGTTTTTTTGCCTCGTTCGCGCCGAGGCTTTACCTGTGGTATGGGGAACGAAGAGACCAGTGTGTAGGGAGCCAAGATGATCTGCAGATGATGCACATGATGTTGGTGATGTTGGTGATGTGTTTTTTGCTGCTTGTTTTGATGATGATGATGATGATGATGATGATGATGATGACGAACATGGACCTGAAAAGTGCTGAGAACGAAGACAATGATGATGGCGAATGTGATGGTGATGAGATGTGATGAGCATGGGATGCATTTGATTCTCCGGGCATTTCCCCAACAGATCCAGACGCTGTTGGGCTGTGCTCAAGGAGAATCCCTTTCAGCTGCTCTGCAGCGTGTTATTCATCCATGCACCTGTGATGGGCATGTCGGGCCACCCAGGTGGTCCCACCCAGGTGGTCCACGGTGGCTGGATTTTGGAAGAAAGCTGCTTTTTAGTTTTTGCTAAGTGTAAACATATGTAAACATCCAAGTCTGATATTTGTTGTTGATTCCAAATTCCAAGATTCACTGTTTCTACACATGTTATTAAACTCTAAACCGATTTTTACAGGATTGAAGAACGCATGTGGACTCCAAAACATGGTTTAGTGGTGGCCAAGACCTTCGTGAGGCGTTCGCCCTGCCACAACACGGACATTTTTGAGAGTTGAGTGCTCAGACCATGGAAAATCCATCTATAAATGGATGATTTTGATTGATTTGGGGGTACCCACATGACTTAGGACACCTCTATAAACCGAATGGGTGAATGATGAATGAAACATATTGAAAAATGGTGGATCTTCACCGTTACCATGGGGATCTAAGCAACAAAGCTGGTATCAAAAAAAAGACTGGGCATCCCAATTTTGATCAATCCGCCCGATTTTTTGATGATGAATGTATAAGTATGGTATACTAAACTTGGCTACTAAACTTGGATAGTATTAGTATAGTATAGTAGTTTTGATGATTAGTATAAGTATTTTTTTGATGATTAGCATAAGTATGTCCATAAAATTGGCTATTGTTTTAGACATCCACCATGCCATAGTCACCATAGTCACCATCCCCAAGCTTTTCACTACGGTTTTTCTGCTAGGCTATTTGTCACCAATAGTCCCAAGGTCCCACGGCCGAGGGTTGATGATCCGGTTGATGGTTTCTACTGCAGGATACCTTCTGGTAATTCTCCCAGGACAAGGGATTAAATGGGGCAGAATTTGCCGCATGAGAGGTTGATTGTTTTGTTGAGAAGTTACTACTGTATGTATGGGAGTTACTACGAGACGGATGATTCAAATTCAACACCAAGCAACATAACCGATATGAGGTTTCTGGACGTAGGCGTTTCACTTTTGGACCAAGAAAAACATAAAAAACATTCAATTTCAGTCCAAGAAGAGTCTTGGCAGATCTATTCGGCCATCCAAATTTTCGAGATTCGAAGTATCCACGGTTCAAGTGCAACTACATCAGCTACCCATCACTACAGGTCTTGCTTTGGACTTGGATGGTCAACCGGCCATTTTATGGGTCAACTTACCTTCATTTTGTAAGGGCCATGAGGTTCCAGTGAAAAACAGCGGGGCTTCCATGATTGTAGGCTTCCCTTGGGATTTGGATGGATTTGGATGGATTTGGATGGATTTGGAGGCTACTTGAGAGTCTTTGTGGCTCATTAGCTTGCTAAATAGTTGAAACACCACAGGCTCCAGATGTGGAGCGAGGCCAACATTTGTAACGTGCTTTCAACCCCTGTTCAGTCCTAAAAATGTCAAAATGATGAATCATTCGCTCTTCAGTGACCCCTCCTTTTTCATGAGATAAAGCAGACACTTGAGAAACTCTCACTCATTAAACAAAAAGAAAGGAAACCAACCAGACTCAGAACCAGCTGCTTTGACCCAAAAACGTTTTCATGGCATAGACAGCCACGGGTGCCGATGTGGCCGGTATGGCTGTTGGTGACCCCGGCTATGGCGACTGGTTGGGACTATGGCTGGCAGCCTATGGACTGCTGGGGTGGAAATGGTGCTCCGTCTCTGGAACCCCCCCAGGTTCAATTTGTCACTACTTTAGAAGGATATCTTAGCGTTCTGCATCTTTTTGTAGGGGTACTTTATATATATATATAATATTATATATACAATATTATATATATATATGTTTTGTCGCGAAAGGATAGAACGTCATGTAAGAAGCTAAGTAGGCAATGTTGTTTGGAGGGTGCCATGTTTTTTGAATTCCTTGAATGTCCATGATTTCAAGCCACCCTGTGCAAGAACACCTCTGCCGGAAAATCTCCCCAATGAGATTTCCCCAGAAAGTGTCCGAAAAATGTCCTTTCTTGGGATTTCCAAGCCAGCTATGACATCGGATGGGAATTCCATTCATCACCATTAGTTCATCATTATTAGCCACTATAAAAACATGTTAACCATACATTAAGCAGGAGAAATACTGTATCCCAGTGAAGTCTCTGTTGTTTATTTCATCATGGCAGGAACCCGCAGAGAGTAGCTCTTCGGAGCTTCAGAAAAAACTGGATCAGGCCTGCCGGAGGTGTCATGATGTGTCTGAAATGACGCGGGATCTAGGTACATGTATATATACACTGTAATAAGATATAATATATATAATATAATAGTATATAATATATAATATAATATAACATAATATAATATCATATATAATGTAGAGTAATATATAATATAATATATAGTATAATATATAATATTATATATATATAAAAATATATATATAATATAATAGGCATTGATAAACCAAAAATGGCGATGTTTTGTGGGATGTGTATAGCCGACTTGAGGTGATATTTTTTTGGTGTGTCTGAAAAGGGGGGATTTACCAGACAAATATATAAACATTGCAATTGTAAGAGGAACACATCTACGGGCATTTCCTAGAATAAGGGGTACCCCAAATCATCCAAGTCATTAGATTTTAGTATTAAAACCCATGGTACCCGCATTTTGGGAAACATCCATATGATAAACCACGGGCTTGAGGGGTTTCCCCCTAAACTTTCAGACACAGCCATATATGTATAAACTACCCTCTGGTAAACTAACATAGCTATGGAACATAGCCCATTTATAGATGGTTTATATAACTATCAAAAATGGTGATTTTCTATAGCTATGTTAGTTTACCAGAGGGTATAAGACATGGGTGAATAGAAACTCCTAACATCAAATGGAATGGGCATCTCGCATATAATTTGAAACACTGATTATTTCAACCAGTTGCCGAAGCTGCTCTGTGGGGGGAGTTTGAAGGGAAGAAAGGTATGTGATTTCCTTAGTCATCTCAGATCTGTCAAAGAAGCTACTGTAGCAGTGGTGAAGGGAGCGCTGAGCTGAGCTATGGTTTTTCGCTTCCATATTCTGTTCGAAAATGGGGAGCCAAGAACTAGGGAGTTACTAAGGGTGGCCAGTTCTTATTGGATAATGTGCTGCAGTATGTGCAACAAAGAAGTACAGTTGAGCATTCTGCCTAGTTTTGTTGTTGTTTTTTGGTCTATATGAGATTCCATTTCTTCAAAAAATCCGACCAAAGGGTTAGAACCCATCAATTGGCAGGTGATTTTCGCATGTAATACATCATACTAATTGATATGGGAAAATGATACATTATTAATTTTCCATGTAATACATCATACTAATTGTAGAATTGGTTAGAACCCATACTAAAGTTAGTGATCTGTTCCAATTCTATCCCCATTTTGGTTCCAGGCGCGCCATGATCTCAGCTCCTGTCGCGCGGAGTGTGACTGCGGCGATTGTCGCGTGCCGCAGCTGTCGGAACACAGGTGGGGCCGGGCCCTTCGGTGATTCCACAGCTGGCTATGGAACACTATGGAACATGTTTTTTTTTTTTTTAAATCTAATTTCAATGGTTTATTTTCCATGGATTTATATATATATATATATATACATGATTTAGCCATGATTTAGCCATGGTGATTGATAGGGTATATCTCAGCGTTTTTTTTGGGGATGAGAATTTTGCTTGATATTTCAAGCATGATGGGATTCAAATCGAGCACAATGGGATGAAACCAAGCCTACTTGCAGTCCCATTTGAAAGGCCCCCCAGCCCTTCACAACCCCTAGAACACCAATAACCCCAAAAATCCCAACGCTCCATTTTACGGCTTCATTGTGGTTTATCTCTATGATGGGTAAAATGAGCAGGGTCAGTTGGGATATGGCTGTGTCTGAAAATCGGGTACCTGGGGTAGATGATAACCCAGTCGATGGAATGGGGTCTGCTCCTAAACTTTCAGTCAAATCCAAATATTTTGGTTGCTTTAACATCCTTTTACTACCATATTGGGTCTAAAAACAATTCAGAAGTAGCCCAAAATTCAGCCATCACTTACCATTTATGATTAGGATACATCATGATCCATCCCAAAAATGACCTCGCCGTCGCCAACTCTGATACTGGTTGAAAAAAAGCCCGATGGCTATTGGGTTCCCAGGCAGTGGAAGTGGATCCAGGACGTCGCAACCCTGGTGGCGCGGCACAAAAATGTGCTGTTGACGGCGGCCGCGGTGACTGCGGTGGCCATTGCGTTGGCGGCGATGCCCGGGAGCCCCGTTGGGGGTTGTGGTGGGAGTTTTTTTTTGGGGAAATGTTTGGGGGATTTCTTCAAGACGGGGAGGACCATGATGATCTTTGGCTTACTTTTGGGAACTGGAGAAGATGGTTGAGGTTGCAATCTAAATCAACGAGAATGGGGTATGTTGAGGCTATACCTTGGTGAAATGGTTACAAGAGGATAGGCAACTGACCCGAAAACGTGTAGAGTTTGCCACCGCGGTACCGCCAACATAAAGAACTACTGTATGGTGGAACTGGCTGGTTGATGGTGGATGCATTGGTTCATTTTCAGCCGTGTTGATGGAGGAAAACCATCTCCAGGGCAGGTAGCTGGTCCAGAGAAGTTGTGACATGTTGTGACGGAATGGCCCAGCTCTGTTTGATCCTTGAGAGCAGGTTTTCTTTTTTTTTTGCTTTTGCGCTGCATTAACGGCCGCATGCTCCATATTGAGCAGTGATGGCTATCCAGCAGTGCCACACTTTTCTCGAGCTCGGAATGAAGCGCCTTGTGCTGTGCTGTGCATGTTTGGCGTCATCCGCCAGGGCGACAAGTGGATGACTCCAGGAAAACTGAAAATCTCTGGTTCTACCTGGTAATCTAACCGTTGAGTGGAAAATCACCAGTAGGTCATTTTCCATACGACTAATTTACTGGGTACCCCTGTTGGACTTTGGGCCAGGAAGTTCTCCTTGGACCACCACGAGGGATTGCCCGAAATTTCACCAACCGGCATTGGATTTGGTCTTCGGCTTTGGAAGTGACAGTTTTTGGGTGTTGAATGATGGCTGATTTTGGCCCAGTCTGGTGAAGCAAATAGTCCAATAGTCCAGCAATACCGCAACTTCCTAAATGGTTTTGTCCGAAAATAGGGTATATTCCCAATTATAGCCATTTAATAGGGATAATGATCATTAACCATTGGGTTTAGGGGTACACTATTTTCAGACACACCCAAATGTTCTTTTTTTTAGTTCACATCTTTTTGGGTTCGATGTTCCATGTTCAAGTTTGGAGAATGCGGCATGCTCCTGAGGCTGAGGCTCCTTTCCAGGAAGACACGCAGAGGACTCCGAAGTCCGAAACAGCCACCATCGGATGGCCTGGGATGGGTGAAAGATCCAACATCAAGAGCTCAATTTTCAGAGCACCATTTAAAAATCATTAGACATTCAATGAATTTTATGGAATTTGGGAGAATTTGGGAGAATTCGGATGGGTTTAGCAGTTTTTGGGGCCTTTTTCTAAGTCTTGGTCAGCTTCTGGATGCTTGGGCACCGCAGAGCTGGTTTTATAGGAGGTCTCCAGCATTTGCGCCTGCCTTTGACGGAGGCCGTGGATGAGATTTCAGGTCGATGTCTTTCTGGGGTAAGTTTCATATCTGGGGTAAGTTTCATAATGATGATTTGGTTGGTATCTCATTCATATCCTGGGGTGTTATATGGGGATGGGTCAAAACCCTGGTACCTAGTGAACCCCAAAATAGCTGGTAAATGGATGTTCATCCCACTAAAAATGTATCTATAGGTATTGACCCATACCCATATATATTATATATATACGTAATTGTATATGTTATATATATGGTTTCAAAATACCCCAAGTCATCCCTGGATTTTATTTCCCGGATTTGGGCCAAAAAAATGCAGGAAACCCGGCTTCCAGCAGTTTTTTTGTGCAAAAAATCCGGTGGTTTCCGATGCTCCCAAGAACTCAATGGCATGTTTGATGGTATCCCCAGGTACCCCCAACAATAGAGGTTTAACAAACTCCTGATCAAGAATGCTGGGGATTGACTTGCCAATTGAACATGGGGGGAGTCATCCCCGAATTTATGGCCATGTTAAGATGGAAACATGGTGAACTATGATGAACTATGGCTATTTTGATGGCGAACACGATGATGAAGCAGCATCATGGCATACGGGAAAGTATGGATAGTCCATCTTTTCCATTCCATTCAACTATGGAAATCCATGAACGTATGGAAAGAAAAATGAAACTATATGGAAGAATCTTCAAACTATAGGGAAAACCCAGAAAAAATACGGAAAAATCTATAAGACTATGGAAAAATCGATGAAACTATGGAAACATCCATGACACTATATAAGGTTACAGGGAAAATCTTTGGTGAGACTTCTTTGTACGTCGGATGTTTGAGCGGTGATGTCCATTTGCACCATGACGTATGTCGGATGGCCATCTCTGAGCAAACTGACCTTTTGAGCGGCCAGTCGAATTTTGTCCCTGTGGTGCACAGTCTCCTTTTCCTGAACGTAGTTCAAGCTCTTGTGCAGTTGTACAGATAGAGCCTCTAGAATTAGACTTCCCATTTTTTGTACAGGTTCTTCCCCCACAGATGTTTTATAGCAAGTTGAAACTCCAACATGCAGACCCTTGTGTTCGCTTGGCTCCTTCTCCATGTCCACAGTGGAGGTTTCATCGAAGCTTTCGGATTTTGCGTTGTCGGTGAGTTTCCTACACTCCTGATCTTCCTGGATCAGAGGGTAAACAGTCACATAACTATAACTATGGAAAATCACCGTTTTTCATGGGAAAATCCACTATAAATGGCAATTTTCAATAGCAAACTGTTTGTTTACCAGAGGGTATATCAGGATGTCTTTCTCGGGGTTATGTGATCTGATTGCGACACTTGACTCTCTCGTGACCAGCAGGTTGCAGATTCTTCTGTCCTTGGACCGTAAAGTGTACAACCATGAGATTGGAAAATTCTATGAAACTATGGAAAAATCCATCAAACTATAGGGGAAACCCATGACACTATGGGAAAAATCGATGAAATCCATGAAGCTATAGGGAAATGCATTAAACATCCATTATCTTTAGGCCTGCATGCAGCGCGTCGTCGAGGCTGGCGGAAATCGGCGTTGGTGGCGCCTCCCGGGCGTGCCGGGCTGGTGCCGGCTACCAAGGCTCCAACTGCGATGGAGGCATGGGATGGGGGAATGATGATGCTGGTGGTTTCAAATATGTTTTGTGCAATATATATACATATATATATTATATATATACATATATATATATTATATATATATACATATAATATATATATAATATATATAATATATATAATATATATATAATATATATATATAATATAATATATATAATATATATATATATAATATATATAATATAATATATATAATATATATATATATAATATAGATATTATAAATATTGTAGAATATATATATATATATATGCACATATGCATATGTAATATGTATACATATGCATGACATATGTATATGCACCGTACGGAATCGTACGTATATCCACGAAGTTCCATGATTTCTCAATTATTTTCACTAGTTCGTCAGGTGAGACCCACCATCGTCCCAGGCTGCCACGCTGCCCGCAGCTGACGGCTCTGATGGTCGCCCTTTGGTCGCTGCCAGCGCAGCTGTGGGGCAAGCTGAAGGGTCTTGGGAGGCCCCAAACCACACGGATTCACCAACAAAAATTAGTTTACAGTAGATCTTGCAACGGCTGCCTCAGTAGATTGGTTTAAGGGAAAAATTACAGGAAAGCCCCATATTTAATGGGAAAATCTATGGTTTCCTGTAGATTTTCCATTAAACCAATCCATTGGCTGCCTCCAGGTTGCGGGCAGCCTACCGTTTTTGACCCATGGCTACCATGGCTACCAATCACTAGGATGGTCCCTCAACTCCCTCAACCCGGCTGAACCCGTGGATCGGAGGCTCTGTTTTTGCTGTCCTGAGTTGGATGCCAGTGGGTTGGGGGTCCTGGTGGGGGGGAACCCTGAGTCGAAGGGATGAAGAGAATTTTTTAAAGTTGAGATGGCATGATATTCAGGCTCTTTAGAGGGCTTTGCTCCGACTACTCAACTTTTGGTCTAGTTACTAGTTTTTGGACTAACAGCTGTGCCTTTGCATCGTTGGGGGATAGTTGTTAGTTTTTTTGGATGATCATGGGACCTTCCAATGGTGGAAATGTGTGAATTTTGCCTGACTAGGGGTCATGGATGGCTGAGATGACGTGTCTGATGTTTGAGATGGAACCCCCAAAATAGGTAATTCAACACGTAGATTTGCAAGAGGAACATGGGTTTGTCTTTCCATCATCTTTTTCCATCTGAAAGTTGCGTTCAAACCTCGGAAACATTCCGAAACTCATATGGGTTTGTTTGAAAATGAGGTTAGCTCAAAATCCTCTAGTTCGCAAGTTCGCCACTTTCTCCATGATTTCACATCGGGCTAAAAAGCAAGCATTTTCAGGGAAAGCCATATTTTAAAGCATCACTCCAGCTTTTCCCAGAATTGTATGATGGGAACATTTGCGGTTAACATTTTCCCAAGAAAGCCAATCAAATGATCTTAAACCAACGTTTCCTCACCCAACATCCGGGTTTCTCTGATACGATTATCAGCATGCATTTCCACCAGTAATGTGCATCTATTTTGGGGTCTACCAAATTATTGGACAAACCCCAAATCATATCAATTGGTAAAAAAAGTGAAACATATCCGATAACATGATATAAAGTACATCACATTAAAGATCATTAAAGATCATGAAAGTACATCATATATCATGATATGTCCCCATGAGCCATGATATCCCCAGTTTTGTTGGTGAAAATCCACCATTCTATTCAGAAAGCCATGGCGCCAGGCGTGTCCCATGGCGCCAACGGGCTCAGAATGCACGGCAGTCGCTGCAACAGGCGATGCAGGGCCCCATATTTTGGGGGAGGTACCCGTGACATCTCTTTCTATTGGCCCCTCCCAAACATGAGAATTGGGGAACAATTCAGCTTTTACTTGTCTGTCTAATCTGCCAGAATTGTGAACCAACATGAGTGTGTTTGAAATCTGTAACAAATTGGGTAAACCCTTCTGAAATGGCAACTTTACCTATAGATCTTCAACGCGCACTTTTTTCTGTTCATAGCATTTTTTGGTTGGATTTACCACCATTCCGACTTTTCGTGCACACCTGGGGCGCAGAATGCACACTTGTGTCCTGACAGGCAGGTATTTACGCTTCTACCGGGTATTTTGGGGCAACGTCCCGGGAAGAAACGAACAGAATTTTCTTTTTTATTGCCAAGTTGCAGGAATCGCTCTTGCCTCTTCCAGTCGTGTGATCTGGAGAAAGAATCTATGGTAAATCAGCATACGGCCGGTTCCACGCATCAGCGGAACGGCCACACTCCGGCAGGCTATGGGCAAAAAGTGCGAAAACCATAAGGGTCTCATGTGACACCCATGGCCGAGCCCCTCTAATTGTTCCGTAAGGGAACTGTACACCGGACCAACTACATTTTCTGGCCAAAAAAGTGGCAGAATTGGGAAAAAGCTGAATCTTCTGTTTCTTGACGACACGCATGAAATGTCTGATCCAATTGACCACATTGATGAAGCGACCGCTGAACCCTTTGATCACCTCAGGAGGAGGAGATTTCACTCTCAACCAGAAATAAATACCCAGTTCATATACTGAGACAAAGGTATCTTCAGCACGCCTCCATTTCAAAGTTTGCAAAAAAATCAGAGTTTCAATCCACATCGCATCAGAGTAGCCCCAATCTCTGGGACGGCACGGGGCGTTCTCCATATTCCAATCATAAAGAATTTCAGCATGATGCCAATCCCATTTTGGAAAACGATTGATATAGTCGATTTCATCTCTCGCGTCCACATTGTCAACCACATGGTCAGCATTTGCCAGTCCATGTTGACGGTTATCATCTTGATTTACATACTGCAAGAGTTTTGACAGCCGACACAGCCACGATTGTTGAATAGCAGTGTGTTGCATCCAAGATTTCACCAGTGCCGGCGGCACCGGCATAGCAGTCTTGGCTACCTGAGTAGCCTCATCTTTCGCCAATTTCCACAGCCCAGAAAAAATCTCTTTGTTGGCATCTTCAACCTCATTGATTGAAAAAACATTTAATCTACAAGACCGACCCTGTCCGATGAGGTGGAAAATCTCACTCCAGAGATCAAGGTAGGCAGTGTTGAGAGGAAGGACAGTCAAGCCCTTCAGCCGTTCCCACGTTTGAATCAAGGCAGCGCATCGCGTAAAAAAGTTGATATTCTTTGAAAATTTTCGCACCATACTCAAGAGAATCCATAGTTCCGCTTTGACCGCACAGCTCCAAGGTTCCAACGTGGCAAAACGCCACACCACCTCACCCTGAAGGTTAACAACAGCAGCTCCCAAAGTTCGAGTAAACACGTGTTTTTTGTTGAAGACCAAACCACAACCAACGAGTGAGAAATGATCAGAATGACACAAGCCACCAGGTAAAGAAGGCATGGTTTCCGCAGCATAGATAGAATCCAGAATATATTGAGGAACCTCAAAAATACCATGAGTCAGAAAATGGGGTTGTTCAGGAAAAACAGACCCTGGATTTCCCAGCATCTGTTTGTGCTTTTTGGAGGATGCTGGGATTATGTACCATCCGGTACTCAACTATGGCTGGCTGGGCCCCGAACTACATCTGGATGATTTTCCCGAATCATCAGCTTCCCCATATCCCCGGTAAGGGGAAAACATCGCACCCAGAAAAGTTGGAAACCTCGAAACAATGGGGAAAACATATAGATACCATCCTGGAAATGCTTTTCTATCTTTTTGGGGTTACTATAACCGAAAACGAGCTTGATTTACCACATTAATTACCCAGCTATAAATCCTACTTGAAAATCGTGATTTTAGTGACTTTCTATGCTTTTTGGAGGTTTTATATAATGTTAATAAAGCAATGTCATAATTCACCCATATTTTGATGGTCGAAATCCAACCCATGGTAAATTTGGGGATGGTGGATCCTATTTCTTCACTAACATTAATCCATGGCGATCAATTAGATGATCTTAAAACATAGCCATCCACGGGGTAACGCATGATTTTCGATGTTTCTTGGAGGTGTTCAGGGACTTTTCGATGGTTTCTTGGAGGTTTTATGTAAGCAAAACCATTATATAATTACCAGTAGTACCGCACAAGGCGGTGGCGGAAGTTTCAAAAATAGGAAACCTATAGGAGAGATTGGCTGTTGTGAATCAGGGATGGCAGAGCGAATCCACTGATGGAGCGACAGGCCTCTTCTTTCTCTCTCTCTCTCTCTTTCTCTCTCTTTCTTTCTCTTTCTCTGATTATTCTACCTACCTACCTACCTACCTACCGATCGATCGATCGATCGATCTATCTATCTATCTCTATCTATCTCTATCTATCTATATCTATCTATCTATCTCTATCTATCTATCTATCTATCTCTCTATCTCTATCTATCTCTCTCTATCTCTATCTCTATCTATCTATCTATCTATCTCTCTCTCTCTATCTATCTATCTATCTCTCTCTCTCTCTATCTATCTATCTATCTATCTATCTCTATCTATCTATGTATCTATCTATCTATCTATCTAGCCATCTATCTATCTATCTATCTGTCTGTCTGTCTATCTATCTACCTATCTATCTATCTGTCTATCTTTCTATCTAT